TGGGAATCAACGCTTCTTCGTGCAAAATTTGTCCGTCATGGTATGTCCCGCCGATGTGGGAAATCATTGCATGGATGGGTGGCGATTTTGCCTTACCCAGATCTCCCGCCCAGAAATGTTTCGCCAACGTCTCGCAAGGCACGTTGCCAAGTCCAGCTGACGCTCACATGGCCGTCGGGCATCGTTCATGGACGATCGGCCATCGCATATCGGAGATGGGGTTTGGGCGACCGCGTTGACGACCACGATGACGACCACGTTAACGACGACGACGACGACGACGACGACGACAACGACGACGACGACGACGCCCCGCACTGCCCGACTGCAGGCAGAACCTCGGGGATGAGCAGCGGGAGGCCCCAGGAGGCCCTTAATGGAAGCGTATCGAGGGGCGAAGCTCAGGGTGGCCAGCGACGACGCCGACTTCCCACGAAGCCCTCGACATCGCCGCCCATTACATATTCCTCTTTCTCCTCCTGCCCCTCCTCCTGCTTTGAGCTCAATGAAGTTCGCCAACATATCCACAACACTGTAACCTCTTCGCATACAAACGCGTTGCAATATACACGACACACAACTCACACCCTTTTGGTTACGGACTTCAGCGAATGCCCACTTCGAGGGCACCCCTGGTACTGTCCGTCCCCGGTTGATCTGCCCACCCCAGCGTGCGAGCAGTGCCGATGATGGGCGCCCTCTTCACACTAGAAGCTCCTGCCTTAAGGGCTGCAGGACGGCGCTGTCACGAACGACACCCGATTCCGACTGTGCGCAGCGTATGCTTACACCGCAGGCTGAGCCAGCGACGTAGCAGGGACTGCCTTCGGAGAAGGGCGGAAACAACTCTAAAAGCGAGTGACAGTGGTGTCTGACAGACATCCTTCTCCTCCTCCTCCTCCTCCTCCTTCTCCTCCTCCTCCTCATCCTCATTCCCTTTCCTCTCCTCCTTCATATTCTGTGCCTCATCCTGCCATCTCTCATCCCCCATACTTCTCCGCCGACCTCCAAACTGCCTCCCCTCTACTTTTCTCCCCATGCTTCTCCCATTCGTCGTTTCTCCTCCCTCCCCTCCCTCCTCCTCCCCTCTCCGCCGCCTAATCCTCCTCCTCATCCTCCTCCCTCCTCCCTCCCTTCCTCTCTCCTATCCTCCTCCTCCTCCTTCCTCAGCCTCCTCCTTCCTCCTCCTCCTCTCTCTCCTCTCCTCCTCCTCCTCCTCCTCCTCCTCCTCCTCCTCCTCCTCCTCCCCCCCTTCCGTCCTCCCTCCTCCTTCCTCCCAGGGCGAGAAGCCTCGCCCTCGGGCTCGAGGCGGCAGCGGCACAGGGGGCCCCCGCCGGGCAGGGGGGCCGGGCGCCGGGCGGGGGCGGTCCGAGGCGCCCCTGTCGGCCAGGCCGGCGAGGGCCTGGCGCAGGCGCGCGCGGGGGCCACGAGGCCCGCATCGCGAAGCTCCAGGCTTGGAGGCCTGACGGATCTCGAAGCTCCAGGACGGATCAGGAGGAGGATAAGAACGGATCGGGAGGAGGAGAAGGAGGAGGAGGAGGAGGGGGAGGGGAGGAGGAGGACCAGGAGCAGTCTTGGGGTCTGGCGATGTGTGTAGATGCTTCGGCGCGCGCGCGCGCGAGCGCGCCTCCGCTGGAGAGGGTACTCGCCCTGCTCCAGCTCCGGGCACCAACACCAACGCAGGGAATTGCCTCCACAGGGGAGGCACGACCCTGGGTTTCGGTGTGGGCGGCGACCGTTCGGCCAGCCCGGAAGCCATAATTATCGCCACCATCACCGAGATCGGGGCCGTCTATCCCTGGTGGAGGCACACCCCCGACATTGGTGTTGGGTGTCAACCTCTAGGCCTGCGACAGGCCGACCTCACTAGCGCGCAGACTGCGCGGCGGGCCGCGAACCCACTCAGCACAGCAGCGGGAGGTGGAGGCTGCCGGCACACGGCGCGTGCGGAGGTCGCCGCCCCAGCGACCCGGCCCTCTCGCCTCGGGAAAGGGCGCGCACGCCTGCCGCGAGGCGACGGGGCGCCAACCCTGAGCATCAGTCGGATCACAGAAAAACTGCGCAGGAGGAGGAGGAGGAGGAGGAGGAGGAGCAGCAGCAGCAGCAGCAGCAGCAGCAGTATACCTCCTTTTCTTCCACGCGGCCCTACAGTGGGGGCCGATGCCACGAGACACCCTGCTGGCCTCCAGGGTGCCCTGGGTTTCTTGGCTTTCCATGGTTCTGCTATGGAACCGTTCGCGGGCCCCGTGCTCACGGAAAGACTGCGCACCGGCTCTCTGGGCGGTCGCCGTGGCCATCGTCGAAAAGTGCGCTGCTCGCGCTCGAGGCCACGGGCTGCGGCGGGCGGTCCGCGGCGGCCGCGCGGCCTCGGCCCCGAGGAGGGCAGGGGGCAGGGGGGCAGGGGCGGAGAGACGCGAGCTGACGACCGCGACGCGGATGCAGATCCACTCGAGCAAGACGAGTCAGCAATCACCGCAGTCGGGCTCGGTTGGCGAGGGCATGCGAGGGGGCACGAGACCCCTCCGAAGGCCACGCTGCCACAGGAGTGCGGAGGGCACGGGCTGCGGAGCACAGGCCACAAGAGGGTCCCCTCGATCTGGCAGGGTCGACCTACCGATCAGGGCCGGCTGCAGAAGGTCCACATCTGGGTGAGAGGAGGAGGAGGAGGAGGAGGAGGAGGAGGAGGAGGAGGAGGAGGAGGGGAGAAGAGGAGGAGGAGGAGGAGGAAGGAGGAGGGAGGAGGATGGGGGAGGAGGAGGAGGAGGAGGAGGAGGAGGAGGAGGAGGAGGAGGAGGCAAGATACAGCCAGACCCAGGGCAGAAGAACACCCTTCCAAAGCACGAGACCCTCTGCCAGCCAAAAACCCCGAAACCGTGAGATCACCGAGGGTACCCTTCCCCAGGGTTCACAAGAACATGCAGCAAACGCGAAGAATACTACAGTCGACCCGTATCACAAGGACGCACGATAAGGATGCAAGGGCCTCGGAAGGCCGCTCCGAAGCTTTTCGAGCGGGGCGCGGCCAGCGAAAGCGGCCAAAGATGGGTCGAGGAGGCAAGGATGCAAGGGTACACTCGGGTAGGCTGCCCCATCCTTACCATGCGGGTTGACTGTAGTATGGAAAGCAAAGCCACATAAACATAAACTTTTGGCGCTCCGCGCGGATTTCTTGGATCTGCGCTGGACCCTCCTCCCTGGCGCGCGGAGCGCGCCAGGGGCGGCGCCGGAGGCGCCGCTGGGGGGGCCCCAGCGCAGATCCAAGAAATCCGCGCGGAGCGCCAAAAGTTTATGTTTATGTGGTTGTTCTTCGCCTACTGCAGTCAGCCCGCATGGTAAGGATGGGGCAGCCTACCCGAGTGTACCCTTGCATCCTTGCCTCCTCGACCCATCTTTGGCCGCTTTCGCTGGCCGCGCCCCGCCCCGCGCCGCGCCCCGGGTACCCTCCCCGAACCGCCCTCGATCTTATGCCTCGGCCCGACTGCGCGCACCGGTACAGTGGGGGCCAGTCCCCAAGAAACCTTCCAGAAGAAGCCCAACCCTGGGACCCCAGGGCGTCCATTGATTTTTGGTGCGGGAGCGTCGCGCCCTACATCGCAAAGCCATCGAAGCCCAAGAAACCGAGGGCACCCTGGAGGCAGGCAGGGTGTTTCTTGGCATGGGCCTCCACTGTACAGGCGACCAAGAGGGGGGCGTCCAAAAGAGGGGGGCGCAAATCATGGCCGGCGGCATGTGCGCGGCCCAGGCGAAGCACCCCGCGCCCTCGAGGGCGCCCTCGACGCCAACGCCCAAAAAAGACGTCCGCCGCCGCGCTTGCCGTCGCTCGGACGTCCATTTCCCGTGCATTTTTTTTTGGGGGGGGGAAGTCGTGCGTGTTTTTTCTGCTCAGTGGTGCAGGGTGGTCCTCGATGGCTCTCGCCGAGAAAAAATGCACACACGCCCGAGCGATGCCAATGTTTGTTGGTTTCGTGCGTGTCTTTTCTGCCCAGCGGTGCAGGATGGTCCTCGATGGCTCTCGCCGAGAAAAAAAATGCACACGCCCGAGCGATGCCGAGCGCGGGGGAGGGCAGGGGCCGAGGCCCCCTCCCCGAGGACGGCGCCCCTCGGAGCAGCGGCGCCACGGCGCGGGCGCTCCCCAGGAAAGGCGGGTGCGGAGCAGAGGGGCCCTCCCCGAGGACGGCGCCCCTCGAGCATGTGCTCCGGGGCGCCCCGGCCCCGCCGGCCGAGGCGGGGGTCCGGCCGCGGCGCCACGGCGCGGGCGCTCCCCAGGAAAGGCGGGTGCGGAGCAGAGGGGCACGCTGCCCCGCGGCGGGGGCTGGTCCAGATCCACCGCTGGCCATCGCTCGGACGTCCATCCCCTGGGCTTGTTTCGGTTTCGCGTGTGGTTCTTTCGCCAGATGATCAAGGATGCTCCTCGATGGTCCTCGCCGAGGAAGAAACGCACACGTCCGAGCGATGCCAAGACCACCGAGGGACCGACGCCCTGGGGGCCCAGCAGGCGGTGGATATGGACCCATCTGGGCCAACATCTATCCAGGTCCACCGCCCGCCGAGGTCTCCGAGAGTCGATGCTCCAGGCGGTGGTTGTGCACAAATCCCCGCCCGGGAAGTCTGATCCCGAACCGACAGTGTTCGCTGCTGGGCAGGCGGCCTCCAGTCTTGAGAGGACAACGTCCGCGGCGGCGCGGAGACAGCGAGCCCGGTCCAAGACGAAAAAGACCTGCTTTGGGGGCATCGCCCACATGCGTCCGTACCCATGTCGATCGTACCGGCATGAGGCCTCCAGGCCCAAAATGGTAAAACCAACAGGTGACGATACTGCCACTCCACCGACCTCTCCCGGGTTGCGGTCTGACCAGAATCTCGAGGCGAGTCCATCGGTGGCGACGAGTGCCTCCCGGAAGGCCCAAGAAAGGGGACACGAGGGAAGGGGAGGGTACCTTTTCCTCCTCCTCCGACGATGACATTCGAACACCACTATCATCGAAGCTCGCGCGACGCCCAGAGATGGGATGGCCCCCTTCGTGCAGTACGGGGCCCCCGGGAATTCCAGACCCCGAACCGTCTGCGTGGACGGCCCTGGGGCCCCGTCGTGAAGGCCCAAGGACACAAACAAGAAAGACTCGGAGGTCCGCGCGGACTTCTCGGATCGGCACTGGACCCCCCTCCCTCGTGCGCGGAGCGCGCCGGGAGCGGCGCCGGAGGCGCTGCCAGGGGGTCCCAGCGCTGGTCCGAGCAATCCGCGCGGACCTTCGAGCTTTCATGTTTATGTCGCTGTTTGTTCCCCTGGATAGGGGACTCAGACTCTGGAAGCCGGGGGAACTCCAATCGCGGATGCCGGTGCCGCCCTCATCAGGTTATTGGCAGTGAGCCCAGAGGGGGGGGGAAGTGGAGAGGGCGGGCCTTCTCACAAGGCTCGGAAGGCCCCCGGCCTTCTGAGAAGTTTCCTGAGCCTTCCCCGAAGGCACAACCAAAAACCTCTCAGAAGGCTCGAGGGCTTCGGAGAAGTGACGCCGCCTTCTGAGAAGGCCTTCTCCTTCTCGCTTCCCCCCTCGCTCGCCGCCGAATTTGGTGTTTGGGTCATAACTCGGGTCTCTGGCGGCCGTTTGGGACAATCCGGACACCCCTGGAACGCCCTCGGCGAGGCGCAGCTGCTGGCAAGCATCCCGAGGCTACAAAACCGCCGAGAACCGACAAAAGCGTCCGAAAACCTCGAACCTCGAACCCCAAACTCGAAACTCCCACGAAACAAACCCACGATCTCCTTCTCGCTTCCCCACTCGCTGGCCGCGCACATAAGAGATCCCCCAAGGTCTGCAGCCTCCCAGGCACCGTCCTTGACCAACGCCCCACCGTAGCCGGCGCTCTGTCCACGCTTCCTGGATCTCCCGCCCCCCCTTCCCGAGGGGCAGTGCAGCGTCCCGGAACGACTGATAGTCTGGGGGCGAGAAATGCAACAATTAGGGGCTCGACCACAAAAAACTTGCCACAAGAAACCCAACCCTCAGGCCCCAGGACGTCCATTGATTTTTGGTGCGGGAACCTCATGCTTCCCATTGCAAAACCATCGAAACCCAAGAAACCCAAGGCACCCTGGAGGCAAGCAGGGTGTTTATTGGCATGGGTCTCCACTGTGATTGAAAGCCTGGGGACGATAACCAACGATTAGTGACTTAGGAAATGGTATGTTGCCCTGTGGGCTCGACGACTCCTATACGATCTCGGCTCCTAGACTCGAATGCGACTCGTAACATGCGTGATCGACGTAAATCTAGATAGATCGAGGCAAATCCGAAAATGACCAAATGAGCCTGGAAGTTATCGGGGCAATTCCAAGCAAGTCGAGGGACAGAAGGTGCCATCAAGTCCTTACGACTGTTCAGTGCGCTGGGCTGGAGCACTGGGAAGGGAGAGGAGGAAAGAGGAGGAAGAGGAGAATGAGGAGGAGGAGGAGGCATGTAGAGGCATGAGGAGGCATGATGAATGATGAGGTAAGAGGACGGAGGAGGAGGAGGAGGACGAGGAGGAGGACGAGGTGGTGGAGGAGGAGGAGGAGGACGAGGAGGAACAGGAGGATAAGAAGGAGGAGGAGCAGCAGGAGGACGAGGAGGAGGAGGACGAGGTGGAGGAGGAGGAGGAGGAGGAGGATAAGAAGGAGGAGATGCAGCAGGAGGAGGACGAGCCGGGGGCAGGCGGAAATTGGAGGAGGAAAAGACGCTGCGGCCAGCAGGCCAGAGTCAGGGCAAGGCAACAGGGAGCAGGAGGAGGCGACGGGAGGACGGGGAGAAAGAGGAGACAGCAGGAGGAGGGCAAGGAGGGCGAGGAGGGCGAGGACGGCGAGGAGGAGGAGGAGACAGGAGGAGACAGGAGGAGACAGGAGGAGGACGAGGGAGAAGGAGGATGACGAGGGAGAAGGACGAGGAGGAGGAGGACGAGGGAGGAGGAGGAGGAGGAGGAGGAGGACGAGGGAGGCCGAGGGAGGACGAGGGAGGAGGAGGGAGGAGGAGGAGGAGGAGGAGGAGGAGGGGGAGGAGGACGAAGGAGGAGGAGGAGGCAGAAGGGGGAGGAGAAGGGAAGGGAGGTAGTGATTTGCTCATCGCTCTGGAGGTCTTGTCACGCCCCGCGGACGGGGCCTCGTTCACCAGGGCGCCGTCCAGGTTCGGGCAGAACGCCCCCGCCGGCGAGCCTCGCGCCGCCCCGTCCTCCCCCCCTCAGTCATCCTCCCTGCCGTCGTCTTCGTCCCTGCTCCTCCTGCATCCTACTCTGTCGTCTTCATCCCTGCTGCTCCTCCTTCTCCTCCTCCTCCGCCTCCTCGTCCTCATCCTCATTATCATCCTCATCCTCATCCCGATCCTCATCGATATCTGCATCCGTATCCTCATCATCAGCAGCAGCGGCAACAGCATCAAGATAATCCTCGTCATCCCCGTCATCTTCAACCCCACAACCCTCGTCGTCGTCAGCATCAACAGCATCATGGTCACCATCATCAGCAGCAGCAGCACGATCATGATGATGATCATCATCAGCAGCACCATCATCGTCATCATCACCATGAACAACATCATCCTCGTCCACATCATCATCATCATCAGCAGCAGCATAGTCAGCATCACCAACGGCATCATCAGCATCAGCATAATCAACATCAGCATCAGCATCAGTTTCATCATCATCATCATCATCATCAGCAACAGCATCATCATCGTCACCATTGTCATCCACATCCTCATCCTCATCGGCCAGGTCATCGTAATATTTAGCACCACCAGCATCTCCTCATCGTCAGCAACATCATCAACATCATCATCACCTCCATCAGCATCAGCATCATCATCACCATCAACATCATTACGATCATCATCCTAAGCAGCATCAGCATCAGCAACATGATCACCACCATCAGCATCATCATCATCAGCATCACCATCATCAGCATCGTCATCCTTATCATCGTCGTTACAAACCTCATCATTCTCAGCATGAGCATCCTCATCAACATCATCGCAACCGTGAACATCATCATCCATGCCCACATTAGTATTATCACCATCGTCGTCATTATCAGCATCAGCAGAATCATCACCATCATCATCATCATCGTCAGCATCATCATCACCAGCAGCACTATCATCATGAGTATCGTCATCATCATCATCAGTATCAGCATCGTCGTCACCACCACAATCACCACCATCATCATCATAATCATCAGCATCAGCCTTATCCACATCAGCATCACCATCACCACCCACACCACTATCATCATCAGCAAAATCATCATAATCATCATCATCATCATCATCATCATCATCATCATCATCATCATCATCAGTATCGTCATCATCATCAGTATCATCGTCATCGTCACCACCACCATGACCACTGTCACCACCACCACCACCATCATCATCACCACAACAACCATCACCACCACCATCACCAGCATGATCATCATCAACAGTATCATCATCCTCAGCAGCATCAGGATCATCATCATCATCATCATCATCATCATCATCATCATCATCATGATCATCATCATCATCATCGTCATCATCAACGGCATCATCAGCAGCATCGTCATCGTCCTCGTAAGCATTATCATCAGCATCATCAGCATCAGCATAAGCAGAATCATCATCAACATCATCATCACCAGCATCATCACCATCATCATTATCATCATCATAATCATCATCAGCAGCATCATCATGATGAGCCCCATCGTCGGCATCATCCTAATGAACACCATCATCATCGCGATCATCAACAACATCATCAGCACCATCAGCACCACTATCATCGTCATCGCCATCATCATCATCAACAGCATCATCAACATAATCAACAACAGGATTATCATCGTCCTCAGCAGCAATATTCATAATTGGCATCGTCATCGTCAGCATAGTCATAATCAACATCAGAAACAGCACCATCGGCATCATCTTTCTCATCATAATGGGCATTCGCATGCTCATCCTCACCATCATCATCAGCATCAACATCATCATCAGCATCGCAAATCGTCATCATCACCAGCATCACCAGCATCACCAGCAATCACCATCAACAACATCATCCTCGTCATCATCATCAGCATCAGCATCGCAATCACCATCACCATCATCATCATCACCATCATCATCATCATCATCGGCGTCATCGTCACCAAGATCATCTCCTCTCTCAAGTGTCCATCCCTCCCTCATTTCTCCACCTCCTGTTTCATCCTCCCCCTCCTCCTCCGCCGCCGCAACCTCCTCGTCTAACCCCGATCCCTCCTTCCGTCCGTCCGCGCCTCCCGCCTCCCTCAGTCATCCTCCCCTTTCTCCATCCCTGTTGAGCAGGGACCGACCGTCCCGGCATTCCTGTAGCCATACCATGGAATGTTCTCAGAACCCAACAATGTTCTGAGAACAAAAACCATGCGCTCAGAACATCAACCCGATGCGTTAACCTGGTGCTGGTGCCGCCTCTCGTCCAGGTCGTCCGCCTCCCCGTCCGCCTCTAGCTCCACCCCCTGGCGCACACTCGGAGGAGGAGGGGGGGGAGGAGGCGGCGGAGGCGGAGGCGGAGGAGGAGGAGGGAGGAGGAGGAGGAGGGGGAGGAGGAGGAGGGGGAGGAGGAGGAGGAGGAGGAGGAGGAGGAGGAGGAGGAGGAGGAGGAGGAGGAGGAGGAGGAGGAGGAGGAGGAGGAGGAGGAGGAGGAGGAGGAGGAGGAGGAGGAAGCCCCCGAGGTCCGCACGCGAAGGGAAGCCCCGGGGGGCCCCGGCTGTGTCCGGCCACGGGGCTGCGGCTCGGGACGCTCTGGGCAGGGCCCCGACGCCCCTCGCGGCAGCGCAGCTGCTAGAGAGCGCGCCTTTCGGGCCCGAGAACGCCCCGAGGCGACAGAGAGCCCACGCAGACATCCAGGAGCCCCCTGAAGACCTCCAGGAACAACAGGAAACAACACGAACCTGCAGGAACAACAGGAGCCCCCGGAAAACCTCCAGGAACCCATGAAAACATCCAGGAACCCCTGAAAACATCCAGAACCCATGAAACATCCAGGAACAACAAGTCGGCGGCAGCGCAGGACGCAGGACCCAGGACGCACGAGCCTGCCGACCGGCCGGCCGGCAGGACAGCGAGGAGCGGCGCGAGCGGGGCCAGAGCCCTCTCATGTATCGGTGCACTTCAAGAAGCCCGCCGCCAAATCCTTCCAGAAATCGTTAGTTGCGGCATGATGAAGCAACATATCGATTCCAACTGTAGCCCGGCGGCAGCGGTGGCTGACGACCGACCGACCGACCGACGGCCGACGCGCTGCAAAGGTTGGTGGCGCGCAAAAGGGGGTATGGGGGAGGGGGAAGGCTTCTTGGAAACACCCTGCTGCTCAGAAGGCCCCGGCCTTACGTCTACAGAGGAGGCCCGCGCCTCCTGAGGAGCAGGGGTGCTTCTAAGAAGCCCTCCCCCCCTCCCCCCACCCCCCTCCGCGCGTGGCTGCAGAGGCCCCCCGCCCCGCGCCTGGGATCCCGAGGGCGCCGCGGAGCAGCGCCTGCGCCGGCGCCGCGGCCAGCAGGCGGGCGCGCGCGCGCGCGGCGAGAGCGCGGCCGCGGCGGGGAGGCGTCGTCGCCGCCACGCCGCGGCCCCCTCGGCGGCAGCTCGGCGGCGGCGCGGAGGGCGGCGGCGGCGGCGGGCGGCGGCGGTCGGCGGCCGGCGCGCGGCGCTCGTCGTCCGTCGCGCGTCGTCCGTCGGTCGGGCGGTCGGTCGGCAGTCGCGGTGGTTGCAGGAGTCGTCGTCGGAGGGGGGGCGGCAGGGGAGGAGAGAAAACAGGGAGATGGAGGAGGGAGGGGGGAGGGAGGAGGGAGGAGGGGGGAAGGGTGCGCGGGGGGAGGAAGGGCAATTCAGAGGGCGGAGGAGGAGTGAGGACAGCGGACTCAGGTCCTGAGGGTGCTCGAGCGTTCTCGCAGGTTGGGGGGGGGCCCTTGAGGGTTCCCAATCGGGAAGACAAGGGAGAGGGAGCCAATTGGGAAGGAGAGACAGGGATGAGGTAGCAGGGGGATGACAAGGACAAATGAGGGTGAGGAAGGAGGGAGAAGGAAAGACGAGGAGAGCGAAGAGAGATGGCAAGATGGGGTTTAGCGAGGTATCGGACGCAAATAGACGCGATTCGTGGCTCTAGGAGGTAATGGGCAAGGAGCAGGAAGTAATAGGAGCGAGAACGACCTGGAAAAAGGGAAACCAGGAGGAGGAAGAGAGGAAAGCGAGAAGAACAGAGGAGCGAGAAAGAAAAATACGACAATAACCATGAGAGCAATAATGATAATGAGGAGAAGAGAATAATACGAAGAAGAAGAAGAAGAAGCGGAAGCGGAAAAAAACATTTATAATAAAAAGGTTAAGAATAAGAAGCTGAAGAACAAGAAGAAGATGAAGAAAGCCGCGCACGTCAGGAAAGCGAAAGAGAGAGAGAGAGAGAGAGAGACAAAGAGGAAGGATTGGCCAAGCAGACAAGAAGGAGGACAAAGGAAGAAGGACGGGGAAAGAGGAGGAAGGAGGGAGGGTGAAGGAGAAAAGAGGAGGGAGGGAGGACGGAGGAAGGGGGGAGAGGGCGGAGGAGGCGGAGCCTGCGGCGATCGGTCCCGCACCCTCGCCGGTGGTCGCAAGAGCGCTTCTGGGAGTGGTCGAGGCCTGCTTCTGCCCACTTCGGCGGCTCACCTCTTGCCGTCGCTCGGACGGCCATTCCCCGTGCGTTCTTCGGACTCGTGCGTGCTTTTTTGTTTGCCAGGTGATCCAGGAGGCTCGTCGATGGTCCTCGCCGAGGAAATTAATGGCCCGAGCGCAGCATCCCCGAACAGGATTGTAAAATGCATGAGAGTTTTCACTTTCGACTGCCTCCCGTCCAGCGCGGGCTGGCATGACAAGTTGAAACATGATAACAGGATGTTTGCATATTTGCGGTTCGCACAGAAGCTTGTGTGATGCATGGCTCTCAAGAAGCCATCGCTTGAGGGTCTGGTACTCCTGCCCTCCTCCCTCCTCTTGTACCTGGTCGACGAGTAAGCTGTCGAGACGGCATTGTCAGAGGGTATACCGCCATGCTGTGAGCCCTGAAGCAACTGTAAGAGGAAGGAGGAGAGGGCAAGGGAGACGATAAACGTGGAAAAGGGGGCATGTTGTGATGGTCCTCCCTTGTCGCTCCAGTCACCCTGGATGGCGCGTTTTGGTCGGAGGCCGTGTTGAACACCACCGCATCGACCGCATCGCGCGGCATCTCGGAGCCCAGAGTTGCGAGGATATCTCAGGCGAAACGCGCCGGACCACCTCGCGAGCGGCATCTCGGAGCTCAAAGTTTCGAGGATGTCTCAGGCGAAACAGGCCGGACCACCTCGCGAGGGGCACATCGGAGCCCAGCGTTGGGAGGATGTCTCAGGTAAAACTGGCCAGACCAACTCGCGCGCAGTATCTCTGAGCCCCGAGTTGGGAGTACGTCTCAGGCGAAACGGGCCGGCCGACCTCTCGCACAGCAGCGCGGAGCCCCGAGTTGTGAGGATGTCTCAGACGAAACGGGCCAGACGACCTCTCGCACAGCAGCTCGGAGCACCGAGTTGCGAGGATGTCTCAGGCGAAACGGGGCCGGACCTCCCCGCGCGCGTCGCCTCGGGGCCCAGGATTGCAAGGATGTCTCGGGCGAAACGGGCTGGACCACCTCTCGCGCGGCATCTCGGAGTTTAGAGTTTCGAGGATGTCTCCGGCGAAACGCGGCGAAGCGGCGCGGACCACCTCGCGCGCGGCGTCCGGGAGGCCGGATGTCCGAGGATGCCTCAAGCCAAACAGCCAATCCCAGCCAGCTCAGAAACGAGAGTTGTGAGGACGTCTCAAGCGAAACAGCCCCGACCACCAGATTTGTTTGAGGAAGTATCGGCTCCGCTTTCCCTCGGCCGGAACTAGCCTCTACCACAACAGCACCCCGTTCAGCAAGCTGTCTGGGGCAAAATCCACACGTCCGAGCGATGCCAAAACCTGGGGCCCTCCTGGAGCCCTCCTGCACGATACGACGTCGTCGTCGTCGTCGTCGTCGTCGCCGTCGGTCGTCGGTCGTCGGTCGTCGGTCGTCGGTCGTCGGTCGTCCGTCGTCCGTCGTCGATCGTCGTCGTCGTCGTCGTCGTCGTCGTCGTCGTCGTCGTCGTCGTCGTCGTCGTCGTCGTCGTCGTCGTCGGTCGTCGATCGTCGGTCGTCGGTCGTCCGTCGTCGGTCGTCGGTCGTCCGTCGTCGGTCGTCGGTCGTCGGTCGTCGGTCGTCGGTCGTCGGTCGTCGGTCGTCGATCGTCGGTCGTCGTCGTCGTCGTCGTCGTCGTCGTCGTCGTCGTCGTCGTCGTCGTCGTCGTCGTCGTCGTCGTCCGTCGTCGTCGTCGTCGTCGTCGTCGTCGTCGTCGTCGTCGTCGTCGTCGTCGTCGTCGTCGTCGTCGTCGTCGTCGTCGTCGCCGTCGCCTGGAGCGCTCGGCGCTCGCGCGCAGTCCGCGCAGAGGGGGCGACGGCCCCACGATGACGGTGCCGAGGCTGCCCGCGGAGCGCCCGGGCCGGGGAGCCGCCCAAGGGGCTCGGAGCGGCGAGTGGGGGCGAGCGACGGGAGAGCGGAGCGGGGCGGGGAGGAGGGCCTCCGAGCGCGAGGCTATGGGGGTGGGGGGGGGCGGTAAATGGGGGGGGGGGGAAGGGTGCCCTCGTCGGGCCCCAGAGGCCCCCTGCAGGAGGAGGAGGAGGAGGAGGAGGAGGAGGAGGAGGAGGAGGAGGAGGCCCCCTCTGGGGCCCTGGCTGAGGGCCCCTCTTGGGGCCCCAAGGGGCCCCCGTGCGGCAGCTCTCGCCGCCCCCCCCCCCCCCCATGTATTGCCCTCCCACGGGTTCGCGCCCAAGAGGGACTGGAGAGCGGAGTGCCGGGGAGAGGACCTCAGGAGGCAACTGCTGGGCAACCTACCCATCGGTGGGAAGAAGTAGGTAGAGCCGTGAATTAGGAAAGCGTTGAAAGCACGTTGGATTCCCGCCCGCCTCCTGTAGAGGAGGGAGGAGGGAGAACCACTCGACTCTTGAAGTAGGAAGGCGGCTAAAGTAGATCGGGCACTGGGAATCCCAAACTACCTACTTTCAACGACTGATGGGTGCTGGGAAGTCTTCGTCGGAGAGAGTCAGGAGGATCAGGCTCCATGGAGGGGCAACTACGCCAAATACATATATATATATATATATATATATATATATATATATAAGGCGCGGATTCACCGGGATCGAGCCGGCCTGCGCGGGATTGAGCCGGACTGCGCGGAATCAAGCCGGCTCAAGCCAGATCTCGGACCAGGGCAAAGTCCGCACCTGGCCTCCCAGGAAGGGCATCCGGAGAGGCCTGCACACGCCAGACTCGCGCCGTGGCGACCCCGGCGCGGGTTCTTCTGGCACCGAGGGGATCGTTCCGCCTGGAACGACCGGCCGCTTTCCGATCGTGACGAGCGAACAACTCACACCCATACCCATAGGAGGGTCGAAAGGAGGGGAACTGCCTATGGGTATGGGTGCGAGTTGTCGGACCCTGGGGGAAGCTCCCGTTCGAGCGGGGACCCCCATCCGACAACACGCACCCATAGCCTCCTCCGTCCCCCCTATGGGTATGGGTGCGTGTTGTTCGATCGTCAGATCGCGGGATCGTCCCACATGGGCCGATTCTGGGCCACTGGCGGCGAGCAGACTCGAACACCCGCGGCGGGGTCGCTGCCGCGTCGACACGGCAGGAGCCCGCCGAAGAGGTGGAGAACGGAGGCCGGCATGAGCACAAAAGCTGTCGGAGGTCTGGATGGACTTCTGGGGTCGGCGCCGGACCGACCTCCCTGGCTCGCAAAATGCACCGGACGCTGCCAAGGGGGCCAAGCGCTGAACCGAGAAATCCGCGTGGACCTCCTGAAGTTCGTGCTGAAGTCGTTGCTTGTTCGTCGAAAGAACGACAGGGAGGGAGGGGGAGGGAATGACAGAGAGAGAGAGACACAGACAAAGAGAGAGAGAGAGAGAGACAGACAGACAGACAGACAGACAGACAGACAGACAGACAGACAGACAGACAGACAGACAGACAGACAGACAGATAGACAGACATACAGACAGACAAACGGACAGACAGACGGATAGAGTCAGAGATAAATAGAGAGAGAGAGACGCACAGAGACGGAGACAGAGACGGAGACAGACACAGACAGAGACAGAGACCGAGACAGCGGCAGAGAGGGAGAGACAGAGACAGAGACGGGGGATGAAGAGAGAGAGAATGACAATACGAATGAGGGACTCAGGAGGCGAACCCGGGGCGGAGGTGGAGCGCGGCCGTGCGGCGGCCCGCCATGCCTCCACGGTGTCCAGCCTGCCCTGGGTGAGGCAAGCCCGCACCAACACCTGCGGGAAGGAGCGACCAATTACACGGCAGGCTCGCATCGGGTCGACCCCAGCGTAGGGCTCCTGACACCGCAGGGATCGTTCCAGCTTGAACGATCGGCCGCTCCAGAAACGCCGGATCGCTCGACGATGGGCCCACTTCCTGGCGCCACCACCCTGGAGGGCACGGTGGCCCGACGCAACAGAGCGGCCACGCAGCAGAATGGCCTGGCGCGAGCGGTGCCTGGCCACTGCTGGGGTTGCTGGACTCGGTGACACATCTTGTCAGGGGGGGGGTCCACGAGAGTCTCGAATCCAGCTGCACTGCGCAAGTCCTATCCCAGGGGAGCGGAGAGAGGGAGGAAAGGACTCCAAGGACCGACCACAACGATGTAGAAAGCAGCATGTCGCTTCAAACCAAAAACGAAACGAAGACCTTTGCTTAAAACAAAGGGTTGGAACGAAACTGGTGCAAAACGAAGCGAACGACGAAACGCTGTTTGACTCAAAAACAAAGCACGAAAGGAAACACAAACGAGGAAGGTAACGAATAACCAGATTGATGCCAGCACCAGACTTCACCGCGTTGTGGTCGGTCCCTGAAGGATTCCGCCTCCGCCCTCCCCACCCCCAAAAAAACCCACCCGTACGCCACGAAGACATGCACAGAGACACCATCCGACGCAGTGAGGGGACGGTGTACATATAGAGTCGCTGGCGCTCGGTGGTGATTCATACACCGCCACCCTCCCCTGAGGCCCAGGAGCAATCCGGTGGAGGGTGTCTGTGTCCTCCGGGGGAGGGGATGGAAATGTTCTTGGTCAGCGATCTGATTTGACGAAGCCGGGGAAGCATAGTACGGTAAACATCCCTCGTGGCAAGCAGACACAGGTGTTGCTTCGCGTGGAGGCGAATGCGCGCCAATTGGGCTGGACAGTGTGCGGATCTAGGCCTAACCCCACCATCCCCTGCCCCAGAGAAGGGCGAGGGGAAGGGCCAGGTGCGCCCGCGCCGCCTTTCACATCCTGCCCCCCTCCCCCACCCATTCCTTCTCACTGGAAGGGGCCCAGGGACACACGAATAGATAGACGCAGATCCCAGGATCCCCCATATTTTCCATATTTGATCTGGATTTTCGTCTCCCCCCCCACATTTCCCACATGTTCCCATACTTTCCTGGGGGTCGACGATGAATTGTGCCTGTGTGCTTTCCCCTTCTGATCATTGCGCTGATTAAGCTATCCCCGAAGACACAGAGAGCCTATCAGAAGAGCAGAGGCCCTCTGAGAAGGCCCCCCCGTCTTTTGAGAGGGCCTTCTCCTTCTCAGTTCCCCCTCGTTCGCTGCCGAGTTTGACTTTTTCGTCATAAATCGGGTCTCCAGCGGCCGTTCGGGACGATCCAGGCACCCCCAGAATGCCCTCGGCGAGGCGCAGCTGCTGGCAAGCATGCCGAGGCTAGAAAACCGCCGAGAAGAGACGAAAGCGCCCGAAGACCTCGAACCTCGAACCTCGAACCACCTCCTTCTTTTGTCCCCCCTCGCTCGCCGCCGAAGTCGAAGGAGAAGAGGCACACGAGAGCGCGAGGAGCAGGAGGGAGCACCCTGCCCGGCGCGGCACGGGGCACCGCCCCGCCAGCCCCGCGCGGGGCCCGCGGCCCGCTCCGCGCGACGCCGACGTGCTCTCGACGCGCAGAGACGACGACGACGACGACGACGACGACGACGACGAAGACGACGACCACGACGACCGACGACGACGACGACCGACGACGACAGACGACAACCGACCGACCGACCGACCGACGGACGGACGGACGGACGGACCGACCGACCGACGACGACGATGACGAAAACAACGACGACGACGACGACGACGACGACGACTGACGACCGACGAACGAGGACCAACGACGAGGAACGAGGACCGACGCTCGACGACCGATGCCCGACGAACGAAGACCGAAGACCCACTAAAGACGACCAACAGCGGATGACGGAAGACCGACCAACCGACGACGACGACTGACGACGACGACGACCGACGACCGACGACCGACGACCGCCACGACCACAACGACGACGACGACGACGCCGACGACCGACGACCGAGGACTGACGACGGACGACCGACGACTGACGACGGCGACCGACGACGACAGACGACCACCGACAGACGGCCGATGACCGACGACGACTGAGGACGACCGACGGCCGACGACAGATAAGCAACGAACGACCGAACCACCGACGACCGACCGACCGACCGACCGACCGGCCGACCACGACGACGACGACGACGACGACGACGACGACGACAACGACGACAGAGACGACGACGCCGTCCCGAGGTCTCCGACTCGGAGCAGCCGTCAAAAAAACAAACGAACAATCCGCTGGCCCCCTTTGGGGCCACCAGGCTGCGTGGAGCGGGATTCGCAGTTTCCTGTACCAGTTGTAGCTTGTAGTTTCCAGTGTTACAGTTCTGCTTATTGCTGGTTACTGTAACTACTTGATTGACCGCGCGAGGGGGGGGGAGGCCCAAACCGGCTTTTTAGCACACCCTGGGCGCGTTGTCTGAATTGCTGGGGGGGCTCGAAATCGACACCCCTCACGCAGATCCGCGGGGTCAAGGTCCAAAAACACAAGGGATTTGCCACATTTCTGAAATTCGGTGCCACCCCTCACGCAGATCCGCGAGGTCAGGGTCCAAAAAAAACACAAGGGATTTGCCACATTTCTGAAATTCGGTGCCACCCCTCACGCAGATCCGCGAGGTCAGGGTCCAAAAACACAAGGGATTTGCCACATTTCTGAAATTCGGTGCCACCCCTCACGCAGATCCGCGGGGTCAGGGTCCAAAAACACAGGGGATTTGCCACATTTCTGAAATTCGGTGCCACCCCTCACGCAGATCCGCGGGGTCAGGGTCCAAAAACACAAGGGATTTGCCACATTTCTGAAATTCGGTGCCACCCCTCACGCAGATCCGCGGGGTCAGGGTCCAAAAACACATGGGATTTGCCACATTTCTGAAATTCGGTGCCACCCCTCACGCAGATCCGCGGGGTCAGGGTCCAAAAAACACAAGGGATTTGCCACATTTCTGAAATTCGGCGCCACCCCTTACGCAGATCCGCGGGGTCAGAGTCCAAAAACACAGGGGATTTGCCACATTTCTGAAATTCGGTGCCACCCTTCACGCACATCCATCGCAAGGCGTGGTAACCCAAACTGCGAGAACTCCCTCGGCCCTTTAGTCGCAAGGTGTGGTAACCAAGCCCGTAAACCATACACGTCTTACCAATCGCCAGGTGTGGTAACCCCTCTTGTGATCAGTTGGTTTTGCTGATTGCGAATCGGCTTCGCATGAAGTTTCCATACTGCTTCATGACAGCGCCAAGACCTCATGACTTAGCTCTTCCATGGCCCATTCTCCGAGAGAGGGGGCCGGCGGCAGGGGGCGAAGCCCTTACGGATAATAAGCAACACTGGCAGCTCGAGAGCACAATCGCCCGAGGGCGCTATCGACAAAGACCTGCCGCAACATGCGCCGTCCTGCCCGGGTGTGCAGCATCGCATGCACCTGAAGAGACTCTTGGCACGCCGCTGCCGACGACGACACGAGGAGGCCCAGAATCCGAGGAGTGCCCGCTGAGACAGGCGGTCCCGTGCTGCCAAATCCGCTCAAGATCCGCCCAAACCCGCTCGGATACAGTCGGGCTTGATTGGAGAGGACACGCGAGAGGACATAAGACCCTTCCGAGGGCCACATTGCCACAGGAATGTAGGAGGCGTGGGTCGCGAAACGCAGGACGCGAGGGCACCCTTGATTTCGCAGGGCCGACCTACTAATCCGGGCCGGCTGCATCCAGCCCCGGCGGCCAGAGCAAAGTCCCCCAGGAGGTCCCCGGGGAGGGCCGCACACCGCCTCGCATGGCCGCCTCCTCCGACGGGCCAAGAGCGCCAGAGACGCCGTGGGCCCTCGAGCCTCGCAGAGCGCGGTGGCGGCGGCAGCGGCGACGACGCCGCAGAGACGGCTGCCCCAGAGGCGCCGCGTAGGTGCGCTGGTCTGGCTGCACCTTGTCCCTGATCATCGCCTGGCCGCGGGCGGCGGTAAGGAAAAAAGGGGGGGGGAGACGAGTGCGGGGAGTGAAGGAGGGAGGGGGGGGGGAAGAGGAGGAGAAGGACGAGCGAGGAGGGAGGGAGGGATGGAGGGATGGGAGGGAGGAGAGGCGAGGCACTGGAGCGAGGACGAACGAGGGAGGGACGCACAACGCCAACCACGGCGATGGCGCGTGCCCCGCACGGACTGCGGCAGGGGCACGGACACGCCAGGGGCCAACATTCACCCACGTAGGCCCCGAAGGCGGAGGTGCCGCACGCACACGAGTCGGCGAACCGACCGTCCAAGCAGGGCTCTTCCAATTGAGCGAAGAGCAAAAACGAGTTTTACGCGAGATGGCATAACGACCTTACGCGGTGGCTTACGCGGGCACCCAGCGCGGCACGCTACATTGGACACGAGGGCGCTTACGCGCGACCTTATGCGGGCAGCTTACAATGTCGGCGCCATCGAGCCCGTTGTCTTACGTCCCTGAAGTGTTCACAAAGCAGCAGCAGGAGGAAAACAGAAGAAGCAAGGGCGTCGCGGACCGCAAAGAATGTAACCCACAGTGCAGGCAAAATTTGAATCGGAGGTGTGCTGCGGGGTGCCTTGTAGCTCCGCACGGAATCTGCTGAATGCACTGCCTGGTGCACTACATACGGCGCGCTCCACATTACAAGCATATACAATCGTTATGGTAATAGGGGTTCTTGGCTGGAACGGCCCGCCCCACAGGTGTTCATGAGCACGACTTCGTCGCACGTTTGACGCAGCTACATGTGTCCGCCGCTACCAGCGCGGCCAGCAAAGTTGAACTAAGCCCCCAGGCCTATCCCCTACGGGGAGCCAGGGGTCCATTCATTGCTGGGCCCCATTAATTTTTCACACCTCGCGTTCGGTGTGAGGGAGCGACATGTGCGTGGGTGGGTGGGTGGGTGGGGATTTGATTTTGACGTCCTGGCCGTCGGGCTCGCAATTGGCTCAAGCTGGAATGCCAACGGACGACCATGCTTCACCACGTTCGAGGATCATTTCCCGTCGCCGACCAGAGACACCACTTCCCTCCGACTGTGGTGGCCGCACTGCGCGCTACCACTACAATCGTTCCGGGGGTAGGGATTCTCGGCCCGACCGCCCCCCCCTTTGGGTGATCGTGAGCACGATTTCATCGCACGGTCGACGTTGTTGTACGTGTCCGCCGCTGCCGGCGCGCCCGGCAAACTCGGACCAATCCGGTCTCTGCCGCGCCCCATTCTTGGAGGCCTAGAAATGAGCACCAACACCAACACAGGGGGTTGCCTTCACAGGGGGAAGACGATCCTCGATTTCGGTGTTGGTGGTGATATACTTCGGCCACCTTGGAAGCCAGAATATTACCACCATCGCCGAGATCGGGATCTTCTTCTCTCGGTGGAGGCACACCGCCGATCTTGGTGTTGGTGTCAACCTGTAGGCCTGCGATGCATTCCTCACCGTGGCGCGACGTGCGCCGCGGGCGAAGCGGGCCGCCGCGACACCCGGGGGTCTGGGCTCGCCCGCGGCCTGCGCCTCCTCTCCGCCTCTCCCTCCGCACGCGCTCCGACTCTCCTCGAGGCTGGCGCGAGCAGCACCTCGGACGAGGACCTCTTCATTGGCCTGGCCGATGACGAGGTCGAGCTCGCCAGTCGGTGCGCTCCCAAGCGGTGCCTCAGGCGGAGGCAGGAGGAGGGAGGAGGGAGGAGGAGGAGGAGGAGGAGGAGGAGGAGGAGGAGGAGGAGGAGGAGGAGGAGGAGGAGGGAGGAGGAGGAGGAGGAGGAGGAGGAGGAGGAGGAGGAGGAGCCTGCGCCGCGAGCGCGACGGGCGCAGTCGCTGCCTGCGCCTGCGCCTGTGCCTGCGCGGCGGCTGCCCTCGTGACCGCCGCCCCGCGCGCCAGCCGCAGCGTGGAAGGGGCCGCGCCGCTGTGTGAGCGAGGCGGGCCCCACTGGACCGCCCTGGACATTGTCGATGTGGCCGAAGGCCTCCGCCTCTGCCGTCGTGCCAACCAAGCGCGGAGCATCAGTGCCTGCCGCGCCGACGATGGCCAGGAGCGCCATCCCTGGATACGACGCGCCAGGGACTCCAGCCCAGTCCATGGCGGCGTCGATGTTCGTGATCGAGGCGAGCTCATCGAAGTCGGCGCCATGACTCGGCTAGTGATCCAGAGGGCATCCCCCCGTTCAGGGCGCATGCGAAGCGGGGGTGTCAGAGTTGGATTTTCACGTCCTGGCCACGGACGAACATGTTTCACCAGATTCTAGAACCAATTACCACCGCCACCCAGAGACACCATCCCCCTGCGACTGTAATGATCGCACTACGTGCTATTACGTGAATAAGCCAGTAAGGATCCCACAGCATTGTGTGCGGCGCACGTCGAAACAGCCAATCACCAACAACGAGCTGGCAGTGCACTCATCCTCCCTCGTTCTCCTCCTCATCATCCAACCCTAACCCTGATAAATCAGCCGGTCCTTCAGCGTGTGTGAGACGCTTTTCCGTTTGAGTCGTCGTCGTCGTCGTGGTCGTGGTCGTGGTCGTCGTCGTCGTCGCCGCCAGTCCCAAGGAAACCTGACCAGACAAGAACGGGAAGCGAATGCTGGAACTTTTGGCACAGGTCCTGCAGCACAGGCAAAGGCAACAGAAGAACGCTTGGGCGAAACAAATGAATCGACTCGGTGTACGCGCACGCAGTAGCAAGAGCAACGATGAGTATGATGTCGCGGGGGACGGCGCAAAGAAGTAGCGTAGAGGGGATCCCGACGATGACGAGGAGAACAGACGTAAAGACGATGAGTGGGAGGAGGACGACGAGAAGTGAAGGGGTGGATGCGGGGGAGGGTGAGGAAGAGGGCAACAAAGCTGTGAATATATATATATATATATAGAGAGAGAGAGAGAGAGAGAAGAAAAAGAGAGAAAGAGAGCGGGAGAGAGAGAGAGAGCGAGAGAGTGAGAGGAGGGGGAGGGGACGTGGATTCAGCGGGAGACGATGAAACTTTCCGCCCACGGTCGGAGTTCGTCGGCGTCGGAGACGGGTGCTTCAAGCAACGTCGGGGTGGAAAGTCAAGGTGTGGACCTCGCAGAAGAATGGACTGATTCGGGTGTTCTCGCTGTTTCGGCTTTCTCGTGCTTGAACAAGGCCGACGAGCTCCACAGCGTTGCCTCTAGACGGTCTCCGAGCTCGTCAAGAGGGTTTCCAAGCGGCCTACGAGGGCAGACAGCTCACGAGGCAATGTAGATAGCTAAAAAAAGGCTTAGACTGGGGATCCGAAAGGGCATCTCGAGCTGAGGCTTCCAAGAGGCCCCAGGAGGCCTCAGGAGTCTGCGCTCGAGGCGACAGGTGAGCCGTGGATGCCTCGCAGAGAGGAACCTGGTGAAGCTTGGATGGTCCTCAGGGAAGGACCTCTTAAGGGGCTTCTGGACGCCTGTCGGGGGTCTGTTCGAGTGGCCTTGGAGCGTTGTGGGGGTTGCTCCGAGAACTGTTGGAGGTCGTTGGAGAGGCGTGGAAGGCTGCTGGAGTTCTCGTGGGCATGATGGGAGCCTCTTCGGGATGGTCACGGATGCCTCGTGGCGCCTCCTCGGGGCCTCTGGGAGAGCTGTTGAGACGCGGCGGGAGTCCTCTGGGGCAGCGGTGCTGCCGTTTGGGGAACGTGGGCCAACCAGGCCTCGACGTGAGGCTTCGGTGGTTCCTTTTTGGAAACTGGGGGTGGATATGCAGCCTAATTTCCTCGTGAAGTCTGTCCAAAAAGCATCGGGTTTTTGCTGATCGCTGCCTGGCGTTGCGCGATTAGCAAAAATCCGATGGTTTTTGATGGCCATGTGACGGGCGGAGGCTGTCTCGGAGCGTTTGCTGGAGGTCGCTCAGGCAGTTGGGACGCATCGGAAGAGCTCGAGGGGACAGGTGAGCCGTGGATGCCTCGCAGAGAGGATCCGGGTGATGCTTGGGATGGTCCTCAGGGAAGGACCTCTTAGGGGCTTCTGGACGCCTGTCGGGGGTCTGTTCGAGTGGCCTTGGGGCGTTGTGGGGGTTGTCCCACAACTTGTGGAGGTCGTTTGACGAGCGTGGAGGGGTCTTGGAGTTCTCTTGGGAATTAGGGGAGCCTCTTTGGATGGTCATGGGTGCCTCCTGGCGCCTCCTGGGGGGCCTGTGGGAAAGCTCGGGGCGGTCTGGGCTCCCTTCGCTCGCTCTTGAGCTGCACGACAGCACTTGACGCCTCCCAAGAAGCCGCCAAGACGGTCCACGAGAACCCAAAGTCGCCGAAAGATCGTTCCAAGACGCCCAAGATGAGCTCAACACGGCCCAAGAGGCCGCCAAGACACCCCACGAAGCCTCCAAGAGGTCTCCCAAGAAGCCCCCAGAAACCCAAATCTTGAAATTCCCTTGGGAAGACATGCATTTTCAGCATAATTAGTTCGCCTTCACGGCTCTGAAAAACGTCCACGAGGCCCCCACGAGGCCCCCAGGACCACCCCAAGACGGCCCACGAGGCTCCCAGGAGGCCCCACAGACAACCCAAAAGAACTCCAACGAGGCCCAAGAGGCGCCCTACACGGCCCAAGAGAGCTCCAAGACGGCCCCAAAAACGGCCCGAGAGAAGGACCACGAACCGCGAATTCCAGCGCTCCGCCCAACAAAGCTCTCCGGAGGATCCAAGAGGCCCCCAAGCGGCCCCAAGAGGCCCCCATAAGGCACCCAAGAGGCCCCAAGGAGCCCCCAATCGGCCCAAAAGAAACCCCAAAACTGCCCCCAAGACCCTTCGAAACTGCCTCGAGGAGGCCCGCGAGAATCCTCGCCACGAGATCCCACGAGATCCCACGAGATCCAGGACTTCCTCGTGGAAAGCAGTCCTGGAGACGCAGTAGTTTATAGAGTTTTTTGTTGACAGGCGCCCTGAACCCAAGCCTCAGCTCAGGTCAAAACAAGGCAGCTGGAGCCCGACGTTGCGGCCCGGCGGATGCGGCGCAAGCCTATAGAATCGAGAGATAAGGAAAACGAACGTCGCAGCTGAGTCGATTTCCCTTCCCTGACGGGGGGTGGGGGGTGAGTCAGTGGGTGGGTAGGGTTAAGTCGGGCGTGTCCCCCTACATGGGGATTTTCGACGGAAAATAGAGAATACCCAAAACATACTTAAAAAATGCTCAAAAAATAGTCTGGGGACTATTTTTTTAGCATTTTTTAACTTTTTTGCATATTTGGGGGGTATCTTTTATTTTTCGTCGAAAATCCCCCTGTAGGGGGACACGCCCGACATAAGGGTAGGGGTCGGGGTGGGGGGGGTCCCGGGTCAGAATACCGGCCACCCCCTGGCCAGGTACCCCGGCAGGTCCCGGGGCGGGGGGGATGCCAGCGGCAGCTCCGGGGGAGGTCCCGCCTTCGGGGTCGGCAGCACTGGCCGCAGGACCTTCGCATTACCCTTCTCCCTGCCGCACGACCAGACGTGCTGTTAGGGTGGGCCGCGTTTCGCCCGAGACTTCCTCAACGTGTGCGATGCGATATTGAAGCTTGAAGCATCCAACAGCTACACGGGTGGAGGGCAGCAATTACCTGTTCAGAAAGGGAATTTCGTCGTGGCGCCGCGCACACTCTTCCAGATGATGGGTGGCGGTTCATTTTCAAAATTGATCTCTTGCCGTGGCGCCGCGCACATTCGCCTTGAAAACTAACAGTTGCACAGATGAATGGCAGCTCCGGTTCAAAACTGAGCTCTCCCCCGCGACTTCGTCAGAATAACCCCACACGTGCATAACCGTGTCAACTGCTACACATACTCGGGGCGACCCCTTCGCAAAACGGAGCTCTCGCCCGAGGCCTCGCTAGATGGTGCGACAAGGAGTTCAAGCGCGCGTAGCAGCTCTGAGAAGCCCAGGTGTCTTCTGAGAAGGCCTTCTCCTTCTCGTTTCCACCCCTTCGCTCGCCGCCGAGACACCGCAAGGAGCTCAAGCTTGTGCAGCAGCTGCAGGGCCAGAGGGCGGGCTCTTCTCGAAGCGGGGCTGTAGACCGGCGCCTCCTCGACCTTTGAAACCCCCAACTCCCCACGTTCCGTGCAGATCGAAGGATGGAGGCGTCTCACAGTCGGACCTGGGCCCGAAGAACCCCCTCTCAAGAGCAGGAGACCCTCCGTCGGCCGAAACTCGCAGAACATCCAGGGGCACCCTCGCCAGGGCGCACAAGAAGGTCCAAACAAACACGAAGAACTCTGGGGAGACCCAAGAGGTACCGACGCCGCTACTCCCCATCCGGACCTCTCCGAGGGCGCGTTCTGACCAGGATCTCGAGGCGAATCCAGCGGTGGCGACGAGGGCCCCCCAGGAGGCCCAAAAAAGGGGAAGACGGACGAAGGGCCAGCGCTGTGGGAATCTCTCTCCTCCTCCCCCGAAGCGCCCGGGCGCCCTCCCCGAGCCGATCTCGGCCTTGCATGCCTCGGCCCGGCGGCACCGCCCAGGAAGCGGAGCGCTCCCGCCCGCGAGAGCGGCGGGGCCCGCGGGGGGCGCTCGTGCCCCCGAAGGGGGGGCAGGGGGTAGGGGGGCCAGATGCGAACCCTACCCCTACCCCCCACGACTTCTGAGGGGGAGGGTGGGGTTCACTTCCTTCGAGAGCTCCTTAGCGAAGTGAACCCCACCCTCCCCCTCAGAAGTCGTGGGGGGCGGGGGGTAGGGTTCGCATCTGGCCCCCATGGGGGGGGGGGGCGCCTCGTGCGGCGAGGGAAGGAGCGCGCCTGCGGGGACCCGCTGGGCGCGGGCGCGGGATAGCATCAGGTGGGGCGCGTCCCCCCTATATAAGGAGGGGGATTCTGGACGAAACTGGGCGTACTCACAAGTGATACGGGAGAGAAACCCTAATCAGGGCTATAGGGCTAGGTGGCTACAGGGCGACAGGGCGATTGAGCTATAGGGCTATAGAGCTATAGGGCTATAGAGTTGTAGGGCTAGGCTATTGGGCTATTGGGCTATAGGACACCCCCGGGCACCCCCGGGCACGCCCGGGCACCCGGGCACCCCTGGGCCCCCCCGGGCACCCGGGCGTGCAGCGAAAATCGGCGGCCAACCTCACCCCCGGGCACCCTCGGGCACCCGGGCACCTGGGCGTGCGGCGAAAATCGGCGGCAAATCGAACCTAACCATATGAATCCGCTAGGATCCCTGCAGAGACAAGCTCTGATTGGGGAAATACTCCAGAATCGCCCCAAAAGTGCTCAAAAAATCGTCCCCTGACTAGTCTTTTACTTGTTTTTGCAAACTCTTCCTGTAGAGGGACAGGCCCGACTTCAGCCTAGCAGGATCGCTGATCCATCTCCTGTCTCGGGCGTACTCTTGCAAAAGAGGCCCAGGGACACACAAATAGACAGGCACCCCCATGCTTTCCCGTCGCCTCTGGATTCTAGCTTCTTCCCGCCAACGTCCTCCCGTCTTTCCCCGTATATCTCCCTGGGAGTCGACGATCGATTGTCTCTGTGTGCTTCCTCCTCCTCCTCCTCATCCTCCTCCTCCTCCTCCTCCTCCTCCTCCTCCTCCTCCTCCTCCCCTCCTCCTCCTCCTCCTGTCCCCTCCCTGTCCCTCCTCCCCCTCCCTTTCCTTCTCCCCTCCCTTCCTTCCTTCCTTCCTTCTCCCTCTCCTGTCCCCTCCCTTTCCTCCTCCCCTCCTCCCTCAACCGGCGCCCTCACCCCCCCGCCCCCCGCCTCCCAGGTGTCGAGGCCCCGCTTGAGCTGGCGATTGGACACGCAGGCCTCGCGGCCCCGCGGGATGGGGGGGGGGGGGGCGGGCGGGGGGCGAGGGAGGAGGAGCAGCAGTCGGGGACATACAGTCGGACTTCATTGGGCGGGACACGCGAGAGGACAAAAGACCTTTCCGAGGGCCACATTGCCATAGGAATGCAGGAGGCATGGGTCGCGAGACACAGAACACAAAGGTACCCTTGATTTGGCAGCGTCGACCTACTAATCCGGGCCGACTGTGATGACCCGGGCCAGTGAGGACCCGGGCCAGCCAAGCCCTGCAGGACCCCGCAAGCTCCCGCAGGACCCCGCAGGATCCCGCACGCAAAAGCCGCCCGGGCCGCTGCCCCCCCCGGGCTTCGCGGGAGCCTGCAGGAGCCGGCGCCCTGGCTGACCGCCGCTGGCACCGGCCCCTGTCGCGAGGCTCCATGAAGCAGCAGCGGAGGGCGGGGGGAAGGGTGGGGGCCGGGCGGGCCGCCCAGGAGCGCGCCCGCGTGGCCGAGCACGGCTCGGGGGCCCGGCAGGGCGCGGCGCCAGCAGGGGGGGGCCGGGCACTGTCGCCACGAGAGCCGCGGTTGGGCCGTCCGTGCGCGGTGCGCCATACGAGCGACGATGGCGCGGTGCGCCATGTGATCATCGCCTGGCAGCGGGGGGCGGGGGAGGAGGAGCGGGAGGGGGACGAGTGCGGGGAGTGAAGGAGGGGGGGGGGAGAGGAGGAGGAGGAGGAGGAGGAGGAGGAGGACGAGCGAGGAGGGAGGGAGGGAGGGAGGGATGGGCGGGAGGAGGGGCGAGAAAACTGGAGCGAGGATTTTCCGTTGAATTTACGAACAATACACAGAACGCTCGATTGATCTCTACGGGGCATTCAACGTACCTTTCGTAAATTTGACGAAAAAGCCATCTTTACGGTAGATCAGTTTTGTAGGCGACCCTCTACTCGAACATAGTAACGCATCGATTGCACCGTACATAGTTTGGCGGCGAGCGAGGGGGGGAATTGAGAAGGGGCAGGCCTTCTCAGAAGGTTCGGGAGCCCCCCGGCCTTCGAGAAGTTTTCTAAGTCTTCCCGGAGACGCAGAAGACTCCTCAGAAGGCGCGAGGGCTTCTGCAAGTTCCCGCCCCTCGCTCGCCGCCGACTGCTGCAGCGCCCAGGAGCGACGCGAAAAGGAGGGGGCCGTCCGCGCCGACGCTGGCGCGTGAGCTGCCCGCGTAAGGCCGCGCGTGAGCGCTTCTCCAAGGAGGCAGCGTGCCGCCCGGGCGCCCCGCGCACGCGACCGCGTACGGTCGCGGTGCCCTCTCGCGCGGGAAAGTCGGCCCACCGGCTCGCGTGCGTGCGGGCGCCTCCGCCCTCGGCGCCCTGCGTGGGCGCATGTTGGCCCCATGCTGCGGTCCGTGCCCCTGCCGCGGTCCGCGCGGGGCACGCGCCGTCGCCGTGGACGGCGCCCATCGACTCGTGGTGTGGGAACGCCACGCTTCCACAGCAGAAGCATCGAAACCCGAGAAGCTCACGGCACCCTGGAGGCAAGCAGGGTGCTTCTTGGCGTGGGCCTCCACTGCACTCGCCACGTACGTGGCACAGGCTACTCCAGATTTCGTGATAAAAGGGAGGGGGTCTCACCCCTCCCAGACGAGAAGCTTTAGACCCCCCCCCCTGGGAGAACCCTCCAAAACATCGTCCCCAGACCCCCCCAGGCCCTCCAAGATGGCCTGGAAGAGACCCCCCCCCGAAATGAGACCCCCTCCCTTTTACTACGAAATCTGGAGCATCTGCGATCGGAGGGGCCGCAATGCCGGCGCACGGGGCGGCGACGAAGCGGCGACGCGAGCGGCCGCCGGGAGAGAAAACCTGGGAAGCCCTGCCCAGCGCACGACGCGGCGGCGACGGGCAGGCCACCCCTGGCGGCGCGCACTAAGGGGTGGAGGGAGGGGGGAGGGCTTCTTAGAGGAGGAGGAGGAGGAGGAGGAGGAGGAGGATCAGGGGGAGGAGGAGGAGGAGGAGGAGGAGGAGGAGGAGGAGGAGGAGGAGGAGGAGGAGGAGGAGGAGGAGGGACCCCCTCGCGCTGTGAAGAAATCACGAAGGCTGCTTCCTAGAAGGCGCGGGCCTTCCATCTGCTGATAGGGCCCGCGCCTTCTGAGAAGCAGGGGTGCTTCTGAGAAGCCCTCCCCCCACCCTCCAACCTCCCTCTGCGCGTGGCCGACACCCGGCTACTTCCAAGGCAGCCGAGCGAGTCCCTTAAAATTGGTTCCGGCAGAGTTCTTGCGGGGGGAGCCGAGGGGCCCGCACTCTGATGGTCGCGCACGTTGATTTTGCTCGGCGCCCTCGTGGACGCAACTCGGAATACAGCCGGCCCTAGGCCAGGAGGACATGCCTCAAGAACATGAGACCCTCCGCCGGCCAAAACTCACAGAACATTCGAGGGTACCCTCCCCAGGGTGCACAAGAGCATCCAACAAGCACGAAGACCATCAGGGTACCCTCCCCGAACCGACCTCGATGTTTCGGGTGTTGCTAGAAGTTCCCCTGGCCCAAGGTACCCGCAGCTTTTCGCTTCAATGTTGGGCCCCTGGGGCCCTCTGGGCCTCGTGAGGGATGCTCTGGAGGCCGTCTGGGCCACCCCGAGAATCCTGGGGGCACCTTGGGCCAGGGGCACTTCTAGCAACACCCGAATGTTATACCTCGGTCCGCCTGGTATATGGTACCTGGGATCGCTGGAAGAGCAGACCTGCACTGTAGCGCGCGGCGACGGTCACGCTATGGTGCTTTCGAGGGTCACGGGCAGGCCGTGCTTCGAGCGAGAAACACTGAAGAAAGCAGCAGCCCGATTATGCTGTGAGGAGTGCGCTCCATACTACGGTTTGCTCAGAAGGCTTCTGCACATTCAATACTGTTCATCTTCGCCGCGGCCGCCGCCGCCATCGTCGTCGTCGTCGTCGTTCAGGGTCGGCGGCACTGGCCGCAAAGCCTCTCCAATACGGTGCCACGTCGCACTTTGGAGCAAGCGCCCCCCCCCATCCTCCCCCCCTCCCCCACGAGCCATCCGTAAACATCCCTAGGAGACCTAAGGAATCCCAAGGACTCCTAAAGAATCCCTGGGACTCCCGAGGACTCCCGAGGAATCCCTGGGAATCCCTTGGGTATGCCTAGGAACCCCAAAGGAACCCCAAAGGAATCCCAAGGAATCCTAAGCAATCCTAAGGAATCCCTGGGACTCCTGAGGAATCCCTAGAACTCTTCAGGACTCCTTAGGAATCCCTGGGAATCCATCGGAACTTTTGGGGGTCCCTGGGGCTCCTAAGGAATCCCTGGGACTCCTGAGGGATCCCTAGGACTACTAAGGGATCCGTGGGACTCCTAAGGAATCCCTAGGACTCTGAAGGATTCCCTGGGGTTCCTCAGGAATCCTGAAAAATCCGTTTAGGGATCCTCAGAATCCTGGGGAATCCCTGGGGCTCCTTAGGGATCCCAAAGGTACCCTGTGTAGGCTATGTATGTGTATATTATATAAGAATGTACACAGGTGTGTAAATGTGTTTGTAGATGTAGGTAGATATTTGTATACATCCATATGTGTGTATATGTGTGTATGTATGCACATCATATACATATATACATACATACATACATACATTATATGTGCATATTTGAAAACATATATCTACATATATTCATATATGTAAATAAAAGTACGTGTTCACGTGAATATACGCGTATAAACGATGACTATATATATGTATGTACACATGCATACATGCATACGCATGCACATATAGATATAGACATGTATTTGTGTAACTATATTTCGGCACATGAATATATATATATATATATACACACGAATACACACATGTATATATATATATATACATGTATATTTGAATACACATATGGCCCAAGATGGCCCATAAAGTCTGGGCGGGGAGTGTGTGCCTCTCCCAAGGGAGACGCTCGTGTACGCTCCCAGGTGCGCCATGTGCGCCATGCGCGCCAGGTGCGCCAGGTGCGCCAGGTGCGCCAGGCGCGCCACGTGCGCCACGTGCGCCAGGAGCGCCAAGTGCGCCAGGTGCGCCAGGCGCGCCAGGTGCGCCAGGTGCGCCAGGCGCCCCAGCCGCCCCAACCGCCCCAGCCGCGCCAGGTGCGCCAGGTGCGCCTGGTGCGCCAGGTGCGCCAGGTGCGCCAAGTGCGCCAGGTGTGCCAACTGCGCCAGGTGCGCCAGGTGCGCCAGGTGCGCGCCAACTGCGCCACGGGCGCCAGGTGCGCCAGGTGCGCCAGGCGCCAGGTGCGCCAGGTGCGCCAGGTGCGCCAGGTGCGCCAGGTGTGCCAGGTGCGCCAGGTGCGCCAGGTGCGCCAGGTGCGTCAAGCGCGCCAGGTGCGCCACGCGCCCCAGGCGCGCCACGCGCGCCATGCGCGCCAGGCGCGCCAACTGCGCCAGGTGCGCCAAGCGCGCCAGGCGCGCCAGGTGCGTCAAGCGCGCCAGGTGCGCCAGGTGCGCCAAGTGCGCCAGCTGCGCCAGGTGCGCAAGCTGCGCCAGGTGCGCCGGATGCGATACGTGCGCCAGGCGCGCCAGGTGCGCCAGGCGCGCCTGGCGCGCCAAGTGCGCCATGTGCGCCAGGTGGGCCACACGCGCCATGTGCGCCAGGTGCGCCAGGTGCGCCAGGTGCGCCAGCTGTGCCAGCTGCGCCAGGTGCGCCAGCTGCGCCAGGTGCGCCAGGTGCAACAGGTGCGCCAGCCACGCCAGATACGCTAAATGCGCAAGGTGCGCCTGGTGCGCCATGAATGCCAGGTGCGCCATGCGCGCCAGGTGCGCCAGGTGCGCCAGGTGCGCAAGGTGCGCCAAGTGCGCCAGGTGCGCCATGCGCGCCAAGTGCGCCAGGCGCGGCAGGTGCGCCAGGCGCCCCATGCGCGCCAGGTGCGCCAGGCGCGCCAGGTGCGCAGGGTGCGCCAGGTGCGCCAGGCGAGCCACGTTCGCCAGGTGCGTCAGGTGCGCCAAGTGCGCCAGGTGCGCCAGGTGCGC